TCCCACGCCCGTATCATCTGCTTCGATGGGCTGGGGGCGTGTCAACACCTTTTTTTTTTTTTTTTTTTTTTTTTTTTTTTTGCTACCTCAACGGGATTAAAATATTATCAGTGATTTGGGTTGGAGGGAAGGAGGGAGGGAGAGAGAGAGAGAGAGAGAGAGAGAGAGAGAGAGAGAGAGAGAGAGAGAGAGAGAGAGAGAGAGAGAGAGAGGAGAGAGAGAGAGAGAGGAGAGAGAAGAGAGAGAGAGGGTGAGAGAGGGAGAGGGGGAGGGAAAGAGAGAAGAGAGAGAAAGAGAGAGAGAGAAGGGAAGGAGAGGAGAGAGAGAGAGAGAGAGAGAGAGAGAGAGGAGAGAGAGAGAGAGAGAGAGAGAGAGAGAGAGAGAGATGAGAGAGAGAGAGAGAAGAGAGAGAGAGAGACAGAGAGAGAGAGAGCAGAGGGAGACAGAGAGTGAAACCAAAGAAAAAGACAGAGTCAGGAACACAGAAAAAAAGACAAAGCAATCAACACCGTAAAAAAAAGGAAGAACGAAAAAACACTTTCTCCCTCCATGCTTGTTTGTTCGCCCTCGCCCTCCCTCCCTTCCCTCCTCCCTCTCTCTCTCTCTCTCTTTCTCTCATTCCCTATTTTAGCAACCTGTCTTGCATACTAACAAGATTAAACCAAAGAAACCTCATTTAATGGTTTCAGAGTACAAAGCCATTGTGGTTGCGAGATCTAAATTGCGTTTCATTCTATTTTTTCTTTTTTTCCCTTAAACAAGCAATTCCTTCCAGCCGGAATAGGGGAGTCTGGGCTACAAGTGAGAGCTATAGAAAACGTGGGGGGACTTAATGCATGCTTACGGAATTAATTAGATTAATAATGGGTCAGGGCGTGATTGCGAATGAATGGGTTTATGTGGAGGGAAGGGAATGAGAATGGGGTGTAATAGACAAAATGGAGAGAGGGGAAAAATAGTGAGTGAGTTATTACCATTATTTTTTATGTCGCGAAACATATGAGTAAATATGAGTAAATAAACCCACAATGCACAAACTTTCTTCAATAAATCTATTTTTTTGTGCTTTTATCTACCACAGTATCAACACAATAGACTGTTTTTCCATCCCTGAGTAAATATATTAACAGATATGTAGAATCACTGATTATATGATGAATTGATAAAATAAAAAAATCAAAGAGATGAAGATACGTAAATTAAAAGGCAGATAAGATTACTTTGGTTAGATTATAGCAAAGATATGAATAGAAATTTCAAGAATGAAAAAAATGACATTATAATTATTTGAGAAGGTTTAAAGCGCAAGAAAACAACGAAGAAATAGATTCTATACTTTATTAAAAAGTTAAATAGAATTAATGATTTATATGGAGATTTTCACTGATATAGAGACATTTTATAATGGGATTATATAAGTGTTTTTTATTTGTTTGTTTTGTTTTTTCTTTTCTTTCTTTCTATTTTGTGCTTGTTTCTACACATATACACACATAAAGAATGTGTATGCCTGTGCGTGTGTCTGTTATGCATGTTATTTGTGTGTGTATGTGTGTGTGTGTGTGTGTGTGTGTGTGTGTGTGTGTGTGTGTCTGTGTGTGTGTGTGTGTGTGTGTGTGTTGTGTGTGTGTGTATGTATATCTGTGTATCGTGTGTGTCAATTGTGTGTATGTATGCATATGTATGCCTACGGTGTGCATCGGTACGCACCATCATGTATTAAAATAATAACGACATAAAAAAAAAAAAAAAAAACAAAAAGGAGGAAGCGTGTGATCAAATAAAAAAATTCTTTACAATGTCCAATGAAAAAAACACTCGAAAAAAATGAAAAAAATGAAAAAAATTGAAAACGTCACAACTTTTTCCTCTGGCTCCACTCGTGGTCTTGTTTGGTCTTATCCCTTTTACGTTCAAAAAGATGAGAGAGAGAGAGAGAGAGGAGAGAGAGAGAGAGAGAGAGAGAGATTGAGAGAGAGAGAGAGAGAGAGAGAAGAGACGAGAGAGAGAGAGAGAGATCAGAAAAAAAAAAAAAAAAAAAAAAAAAAAAAAAAAAAAAATTATATATATATATATATATATATATATATATATATATATATTATATATATATATATAAAGAATATATACACCTCTTTCTAAATATAAATTAGATAATGGAATCACATTCTTAAAAAAATATACTAAAATAACCCTTCTGAACATCCCTATTAGTGTCATTAATGAACATCATATTAGATTATCAACTGAACATCACTATTAGCGTCATTATCAACTGAAACATCTATTAGCGTCATTATCAAATCACTATTAGTGTCATTATCAACATCTCCCTTTCCCTTGATATCTGTATCAATGCAAACCCAACTGTGAACCCTATATTTGATTCGCTAATTACATAGCTAATGAGCCGGCAACCTGGTGGATGATTGAGAATGCTAATAGGTTTTAACACGTTTCTGTCCTGTTGTGTGACGTCACCGGCTGAAATTATTAATGG